TGTGAATGTTACTAGCCTTATTGGTACGCGTGATATGATAAGCATAGGATGAATAATGTTTATTCAATACTAATATAAATGATAGAAACAATATTATCAGCGTAAACAAACGAAAAAAATCTTCTTTCCAATAGAACACATACTAGCTTTAAAATAAACTGTATTTACTTGTATATATTTGCTTCTTTAATGTTGTGAATGTTACTAGCCTTATTGGTACGCGTGATATGATAAGCATAGGATGAATAATGTTTATTCAATACTAATATAAATGATAGAAACAATATTATCAGCGTAAACAAACGAAAAAAATCTTCTTTCCAATAGAACACATACTAGCTTTAAAATAAACTGTATTTACTTGTATATATTTGCTTCTTTAATGTTGTGAATGTTACTAGCCTTATTGGTACGCGTGATATGATAAGCATAGGATGAATAATGTTTATTCAATACTAATATAAATGATAGAAACAATATTATCAGCGTAAACAAACGAAAAAATCTTCTTTCCAATAGAACACATACTAGCTTTAAAATAAACTGTATTTACTTGTATATATTTGCTTCTTTAATGTTGTGAATGTTACTAGCCTTATTGGTACGCGTGATATGATAAGCATAGGATGAATAATGTTTATTCAATACTAATATAAATGATAGAAACAATATTATCAGCGTAAACAAACGAAAAAAATCTTCTTTCCAATAGAACACATACTAGCTTTAAAATAAACTGTATTTACTTGTATATATTTGCTTCTTTAATGTTGTGAATGTTACTAGCCTTTCTGGTTTTGTTTTTTGTTCTACAGTGTTGCAGAATGTGGCAGTTTCGTAAAATCCTGTCTGTGTTATAAATATCTTGGTTGATTAATATTAGTTTACATGATATCTTGCTATATCTGCATCTTTCTATTTACCCATATATCTAAATATCATTCTAAATGTGTTTATATATAATATAGATATATAAACAAGTTAAATATATTCAAATACACGTATACACATCCAGAAAGCAATGGAAATCTTAAACATTTATATACTAATATCGGAAAATCTTGTTTCACAATACGGATTTTTAATTTACCACTCTGTTTACTGTCACGGCGAGTTTTCATTTATAGATCTGATAGTAGAGTCATGTACATTTTAACCCCTTATTCACCCTACTGTTGCAAGGTCAGTAACCACAGGTAGACACTGCATAAATATCTAGGAGCACACGCTGTCGACCTTGCCTTTCCGTTTGTTGCAAGGATGTTGAAATCATTTAGTCTCTCCTTATGTCTGTCTGTTTGTTTGTTTAATTTGGGACTCTGTCTGTTTATTTGTTTAATTTGGTCTCTGTTTGTCTGTTTAATTCGGTTTCTGTCTGTTTGTTTACTTAATTTTGTCTCTGTCTGTTTGTCTGTCTGTCTGTCTGCCTGTTTGTTTTCCTCTCTCTCTTTCTTTTACGCACACGAGTGCACACACTGCACTACACACACACACACACACACACACACACACACACACACACACACACACACACACACACACACACACACACACACACACACACACACACACACATACACACACACACAAACGAACAAACACAAATACAACGCACATGCTCGCTCTCTCTCTCTCTCTCTCTCTATATATATATATATATATATGTGTGTGTGTGTGTGTGTGTGTGTGTGTGTATGTGTGTGTGTGTGTGTGTGTGTGTGTGTGTTGTTCTATAGCTTCTATGGTGTTTTTGCTTCTTCGGACAGACGGCAACAAACTGTCACATAACTGAAAGGTCCAGGACTATATGAGCTATATTTTCTACTGATCTGTAACACTTGGAGATTCAAACACGTGATCTCCGTGAAAATACCGTGTGATTAAAATTACTCTTTTAGATAGTATTTATCTGTAAATCGATGATTGAACGTATGTCGCCTTATCATTTACAAATCACAATGTATGTTATGTTAAGACCTTGCCCTAGGACAATGTTTTATTGTGAACTTGAATTAGTCGTGAAATTGTGAACGTTTATGTCTATTAAATGAATCTCTTCAGCGAAATGTTTTGATTGTGAATTTGAATTTCTCGTTAAGTTATGAAAGTTTGTGTCTGTTTCGGTAATACATACAGCAAAATCAGTTTATCCTACCATGAATTCTGATAGCGTCGAGTCATATCATATGTGACAACATGGAATCAGATATTAATGTATATCAATAAATAGGTGTTCATGTATTTTTCACGAGCGCGCGCGTCTGTATGTACATAATCTTTCCGTTTCTGTGTTACATTTTTATTTTCGTATATATTATTCCGTATTTTAAAAGTCATGTACAAAGCCCTTTTACAATATCAAAGTACGCAGGAATGTATGAGATACGTATTTATTAATTTTGATATTTGTTGTGTGGATGTGTGTTTTTCTTTAGTAATTTATTTTTTATTCATTGTTATTTTGACCTGATTAGCATTTCTTATACATGAAAATAACTCCAAAAGCATTCATGACTCTAGTGTGTGTTATTTTTAAATATATTTAGATATATATTTCAAAACAAGTTTATTGTTAGTAGTTTTTCACAGCTCCCGATGTACGAAAACACGATGGAAAAACGAAATTGAAAAATATATTCTGAAAAATAACAATCATGTGTTTTTTTTTTCCACCAAATTCCGTCCCGAATCATATGGTTTGAGAATTTTGACGACTGAAAAACCATTTAGGGAGAAAAAAAAATCTTATGCCATAGGATTTGTCCAAAGATATATATATATATATATATATATATATATATATATATATATATATATATAACTGTCTAAGAATTCTTTCTTTCCCGCCTTAGCAACATACTGTCCACTTTTATAAATCATGGGTAGTTTTTTTTACTACATCCTCTATTTTATCCATTGAGAAAGAAATGAAGTCAAAGCCATCTCTCTTTTCAACAGCATGGCTCTATCTCCACATTCTCTGATAGGAACTTAAATCCCTCCTTTAATTATTATCAGACAGATAACATCTCGGTACTACCCATCGAAACTAGAGGGTCACCGTTCTCGAGTTCAGTTGACATTGAAACATATCACAGGTATATAAAATTTCAACAATTCACTTACATATTTCTATTATATGAAATTTTAAAATCTTACTTAGCAATAGATTCATCCCCTCTTTTTTCCCGGCCGCCATTTCCTTATCATAAAAAATCAAATTTTGGAGAGAGAGAGAGAAACCGACGGACATGGAGAACCAAATTTTTTTTTTCCCCTTTCTAACCCGGCTGATAAAATCATCAACAAAGTAATCCCAAACCAGCTGACGTTAAAACAATTAAACAAGTCTAATACACTCGTCCTTAACTAAAACGAAACTTACCTCAAAGCCACTTCATCTTTAAAATTCTAACGCAGCTCGCCTTTAAATAAAACGAAACTCGCTTTAAATCCATTCCATCTTTTAACTTCATCAAACTAATCTATTTAATTCCAGCTCATCCGCCAAATCTGCCAGACGCATCAAATCAAATTAATCCGAAACGAGTTGTTATCTAAAAATTAAATGAAAAAATCAAACACAACAGGCACTTTAGGCAAACAAAAAGCACTTTAAATCAGTTTCACGCAAATACCATCTGCCAGTTCTATCCAAAATAGAACCTTTATTTTAAACCATCTGACAGTCTCTTTCGAAAATGTCTAAAGCAGCTGGAACGTAAAAAAAAAAAAAAAAAAAAAAAAAAAAAAAAAAAAAAAAAAACACTTTAAATCCACTCCTCTTGTAAATAATTTGCCAGCACTGTCAAAATAACTATCTTCAAATCTTATCAAAGTAAAAATTGTATTTTAAACCCGCATCATCTTACAGTCTCGCTTGAAAAATCTAACGCAGCTCGCGACTAAAACCACTCGAAAACACTTTAAACCTACTCCAGCTTTCACCATATTCCACTCCTATTGAAGTGACACTTATTTTAAGCCCACACCATCTGGCAGTCTATATAAAAAAAAAAATCTAACACAACAGTACTTACAAAAATCAAAAACACTAATCCAATTTTTAAACCAATATTTCAAACCCACCCCACCTGTCACCATCTTCGAATCCTGTTAACGGAAAGCTATATTTTAAATTCTCACCTTTTGTCTCCCCATCTTCGAATCCCGTCAAAATAAAACCTGAATTATAAACCTCATTACCTTAAACCCATACCACCTGTCCCCATCATCGAATCCTACGAAACTAAAAACCCATACCTTAAACCCGCACCATCTGTCACCATCTTCTAACTCCCACCAAGGCAAAACCAGTAAAACAAACACATTTTAATGAAACCCGCACCGCCTGTCACCACCTCCGAATCCCACCAAGACTAAACCAGTAAAACAAACCCACATTTTAATGAAACCCGCACCGCCTGTCACCACCTCCGAATCCCACCAAGACTAAACCAGTAAAACAAACCCACATTTTAATTAAACCCGCACCTCCTGTCACCACCTCCGAATCCCACCAAGACTAAACCAGTAAAACAAACCCACATTTTAATGAAACTCGCACCATCTTCGAATCCCACCAAGACTAAACCAGTAAAACAAACCCACATTTTAACCAAACCCGCCCCGCCTGTCACCATCTTCGAATCCCACCAAGGCAAAACCAGTAAAACAAACCCACATTTTAACCAAACCCACACCATCTGTCCCCACCTCCGAATCCCATCAAGGCAAAACTAGTAAAACAAACCCACATTTTAATCAAACCCGCACCGCCTGTCACCATCTTCAAACGCCCACCAAGACTAAACCAGTAAAACAAACCCACTTTTTAATTAAACCCGCACCACCTGTCACCACCTTCAAACTCCCACCAAGACAAAACCAGTAAAACAAACCCACATTTTAATCAAACCCACTTTTTAATCAAAACCCGCCCCGCCTGGCAATCTCGAATCCCGCGCGCCTCGTCGGCCGAAAGGTGGCCTTCGCGTCGACACCCTCAGTCGCCATTACACTCGTGCCAGAGGAAGGTCGCGCTGGTCGTCTTATCGTTTCTTCTGCGTCGTACA